ATCTGATGTTATCCATGTTCCTAAGTATTTATAGTTATTAAAACTCTCAATTGCAGTATCTTCAATAGTCAATTGGATATTTGCATGTGCAGATTTAGTCATGATCATGCATTTAGTTTTCTTTAAATTTATCTTCAGTCCGTACTCATGACAGCGTTCATTAAGGCGTTGCATTAGGTTCTGTAAATCATTGTTGTTATCCGTAATTATTACTGTATCGTCTGCAAAACGTAAGTTATTCAAAACTTCTCCATTGATAGATATACCTTCTATTGAGTCTGAGAGCGCTTCTTAAAATACTGCTTCACTGTAGACATTGAAAAGTAGTGGGGACAGCACGCAACCCTGGCTGACTCCTCTCTGTATTTTGATATTTTCGGTGTACTGGCGTGTATTTCCGTTCCACATCGGTATTAAATAATACAGACTAAGACTTAGACCAAATCTAAATAAAAATCACTGGATTATTTGTACTCAGCTTTCCCAAATTTTACGGCCGTTTAAAGAAATAACAAGTACAATGAGTGACCAAAAATACTTGAAGGGTAGTTCAGTGATTGTTATGGTACGCGGCCTGCAAGATTCTTGCAAGAAAATTTTAGCAAACGGTAACCTTACATCCATAGTATCCGACGTAGTACAATTACTAATATCGGGTTTAGCAAAAATATTTAAAGGGATAGAACAGAGTGGCATATTGTCATTATGTAAATTTATGGATTCACCATTTAAAGTGCAGGGTTTTTCTGATAAAAATGAAGATAAAAAAATAAAAGAAAAAGTTAAGAAGCTGGTTACTTCTATAATTAACGAACAAGAAGATTGTACTATTGAAAATCAACCAGTACAAGAAAAAGAAACCAATAAAGATGACTTAAATCCATGGTGTATTTTTGATCAATTAATTGGAGATGGCTCATCTACACGTACACCTGTATCGAGAGTCCATTACAACGGTGGAAAAACCATTGCCATGTATATCCTAACTTAACCACTATATTCATACAGTATTGTAAATGTGAACACATGTTCAAAATCTGGTTTAATTTGAAATAAAAAAAGAAGACGGTTAATAAGAAGTAGTTAAAGTAGAAAAACTTATGTTTTTTAATGTCAATTTAGACTATTCGCGATTTAATAATAACGTGTAATGTAAATGTAAGTACGATTTACTATTTGTATTGTTTAGTTTATTCTTCAAGTTATAATAAATATATCATTAGTTTCTTTCACTTCAATAAATATACACATCAACGATAATAGCCATTATGTTTGTTTATGTAGGTACTCTCTTACTTGAAACTACTTTTAAACAATCATAGTTACTTGTTTACAAAAATTTAAATTTTTAAATTCATTCATTTTTTTTTGGAATCCTGAGAAAACTAACAAATATTTTTGAAAAATTTAAATGCAGAATAAAAGATTACATTATTACCGAGGGCCGAAAGTCCCTTAGAATAAACAAAAAGTTTTTTGAATGAGATATTTGAAATTAAAAATCACACTAATTTTTTTTTTCACCCTTATAACTTATTAAAATAAACATTATAGAAGTTTTCAGGGACTTTCGGCCCTCGGTAATAATGTATTGTTTCATTCTGCGTTTAAATTTTTCAAGAATATTTATTAGTTTTATCAGGATTCGAAAAAAATGAATGCATTTAAAAAATATTAATCCGAAATTTTATGCCTACGCTCTTAACGATAAAATTACCACGACCCACCTCTACTACCCGTTACTCGGTGTTCTGACCAGACGGACGACGTTGCCAAATAATTATTGTGTATGAATATTTTTTAATGTGGTGTTATTGTATGCAGTTTATTATTTCATATTGGGAATAAGGCACAATGTGACTTTAAAATAAGCTTATTTGGATGTTTAGATTTTTAATTCGGAAATCGTACTTAAAATACGAAACATTAATAAATTTTATTTATATAAAACGATTTCCGAAGTGGAAATCAAAATGTTATATTACACTTATTGTAAAGTAAACTTGTGGCATATTCCCAATAAAAAAAAACAGTAAGCTGCCATTTAAATCAATTTCGCCCAAATTGGATTATCTTAGAACATTGTTCAAATGCAAAAAAAAACAACAGGTCAAATAAATCCAATAAGTTTGGCAACGTTGAACTTCCCCTTTCCAGGCATGCATGTTTGGCGATATAAAGGGCGGACCTAATATACCTCTCTCTTTCTAAACAGCTGTTTCTCACTCCATCTCACGTAAGGTCCATACCGACCATAAAATTTTTCCTACACTGTATAGAGGTCAATATTTGTTTTATTTTTTATTTTTGATGTTTTTCCAGTAAATAACAATAAATATATATATATATATATATATATACAATATATAAAAGGTTTCTTGTTCTCGACGTAGTTGCAGTAACAAAAGCAATGTTAATAAAAAATCTTTAAGAATAACGTTCCACAGGTTAGTATACAAATACTATACTATACAAAGTAATGGCCCGTACTTCAGAGAATAAATTAATAGTATTGATAAAAATCTTACAGTAACTTAGAATTAATTTTTCAGTCATTATTGAATATTTTTAAAAGTTTCCAAAATAGCAATTAAAACTTGCACTTCCAATAAAATATAAGTAATCAATACCCAGAATATAAAGATACTAATAAACAATTTTTAAGCTATTTATAATATGTTTTACTTTATTAATCATATTTTATATTTAAAATATAAATTTGTTATTAATACTTAGTGATGCATCTAATAGTATGTTTAGGTTTCCAAAAGAAACCAAATAAATATAGTATTTTATGTTCAAACATTTTTTAGAAAAAGATATTGATAGAACTTCACTTGCTTCTATTTATTTAAAAAACACTGCTGTTTCAACAGCTTATATCACACAGGTAATATATTCTTATAAACTACTGCCATGTAACGATGTTCTGATCGTTTAACAGTTTAAACCGTGGGAGTGTGTCAATATTTGCGCATCCACTTCTACAACGAGCCGTCGAAGTGGGATTTAGAGCGGCTATTTAAAGCGTTTTATTGTTGGTATTGTCGATCAATGTGATGGAGGTTGGAGAGTTTGCAGTATTTAAAATTAATTTATTTAATAAGTAATAAAAAACAAATCACAGTAAAAATGGCAAATCAAGAAATAAACAATAGCCTGACAGTTAACACCTTAATACCAATAACACCACAACCTTTGGATCTTTACCTTATATTCCATTCTTAACACCAAAACTTCTCAAATTATTTAAAGGATTAGAAAACATAAAAATTGCCATCAGAAATGTTAAAACCATAGCACATTTATACACTTAAAACTAAAGATCCTTTAATAACTGATGAAAGTTCTAGAGTAGTGTATCAAATACCTTGCTCAGACTGTGATAAAGTTTATATAGGAGAAACTTCTCGAACATTACACAGCAGAATTATTTCTCATAAAAGTGATGTAAAAACTAAGAAATCACAAGCTTGTGCATTAGCCGAACACTCCATCAATCTAAATCACACATTTAATTTTTCACAGGCTTCAATTCTAGAGAGGCAGAAACATGAACAGAAACGGTTATTTTTAGAAATGACACATATACAAAAAAATAAAAAATGTGTAAATAGAAGATCAGATATTGACAAATTAAGTAACATTTATTGTTACATATTAACATATCAATAAATACCGTCAAAATCTCATTTTCTATTGACATCCTAATATTAAAAATTCATGTGCTTAAGCCAAACTGCTGACTGGATTAATTTATATTTTTTATAGACAATTAAATAAATTATAATAAAAACTATTGTTACTGGTTTTGCTTTCCACATAAAATAACTGTATTTTCATTCATATATGTCCATTAATCAAACCATGACAGTGACATATATAGTGACAATATAGTTATTTTTAATAAAAAAATTTTATTATATTTATTATGGTTTGTTTTGTAGAGTACAATATTAAAAACTGTAATCTCATAACTAGTAAGTAAGAAAATTAACAATTTTAACTAGTTAATTTATATTTCTTTTTATAGATGTCTTGAAAAAGAATTAAATAAAATTCGAAAGCTTGACAGTAAGTCAAAGAGTTTTCTTTGTCTTGTGGGCCAAATAAACTGACTGCATCCTCAAAAATCATAACTTATATTTAAATCAACAGTCAAGAATACCACCATCTTATATATATATATATATATATATATATATATATATATATATATTATATATATATATATATATATATACAAACAAGCCAAAACTATACCAAACATTTTGAAAAGAAATTTTACTAGAAGACGTAAAGACACCAGTTCAACACTTATAACTTTTTCTTGCAAATGGCAATTAGAAGAGGGTGCAACAATTACAAAGGAAAACGTAACTAAAGCTAGTAAACAACCGACACGTGATAGAGGTCGGGGTTAAAAATGGGTCCTGTTACAAGAAAGAGGAAGCTAAGAAAAAGATAGAAAAATGCAGAATTCAGTTCCGGTGAAGACTCGAATGATCATATCCCCAGATGCTTCTGAGTTAGAAATTCCACCAGGTGTATCTTCGTCACAGCTGAAGAGGATGTGAAGTGTTTGTTTTGCTATGTTAAATTTTCAAATGACTCCAAACGAGAGCGTTGGGTTAAATGCCTTATGTGTTTCCTTTGGGTATGCAGGGGCCAACGACCTTGAACTTTAGTGTCAAGTATTATATTTTGAATGTACAATAACAACTTTTATCAATTACATTTACATTTACAATTTAAATTACAGGTTATTCAGAATCAACAATTCCAAACAATATATTAATTTTAGTCATAGATTACTTTTGTTCTAATGCATGCTCTCTTTTCGACCACAGGTTATTAAGAATTAACAATTCCAAACATCAAATTAATTTTAGTCATAGATTACTTTTGTTCTTATGTAAAAGTTACTTATTTTATTACCGGATTTTCAGTAAATATAAATATGTTTAACATTGTTTATCTACTTATCTTCTACTACTTACTATAATAAAAGATGGACTAACAAATTTCCAACAAACCCTCCAATACAATCCTGGTTTCATACCAAGCATTGCTTCTACATCTTGCGAAAATCTATCAAGACCTAAAAATGATAGAGGTAAGAAGTTTATCCATTTAGTTTTTTATGTATTTTACCATAAAACCATGAAACAGCAACTGCTTCAAAAATTGCTGAGCACAGGAGTGAAATTCCTGCTGAATAAGTGTCAAACAAGTGAAACATATAAATACCACCCTAAAACAAATACCCAAATTAAAAATTATTAGATTAATCTGTAAGGTCGATAATCGTCATTGTAAAAATGGATATGTATGTACGCTATACAATAACTGGTTATAAATTAACACATTTGGGCGAAAATGGCTCGATTGAACCTAATTTACCTTAGTGTAATATGCACACAAACAAATACATCTCTTTTAAAGTTACGAGCTGAATATCGTTCTTCTTGTAACGTCTCCTCAACTGTTAGATATTTAGTTATGAAAATGTACTTAATAGTTAATGAGTTTCCAAAAAAAAATCACCTTTTCATTATACTCAAACTTAAGAAAGAAAAAGTAGGTTTTAATTGAACTTCGAACCAAATAATTTAAAAAAATTATTAAACCGTTCACGAGGTATTAAAAAAGTCACTCTTTGAGGTATTGAAAAAAATATATACTTATTTGTATTGAAGTAGGTTAGATTTAATTAATGGTTTTGGATAACTTGATCCATTTAGCCACGATAATGTATTTGGCTACTTGAATTTGTTAATGATGTACTAACCTATTGCATTTGATAACAAAATAGTAGCAACTTCGTATAGAGGTAAATTAAAAATATAATAAAATATAATGTAAACATCAGTATCACAAGAATCAGTAGATTGATAAAAACCATACATTCATTCGTTCCATTCAATGCCCTAACCAACTTAAAGTGAATATTTATAACCCACCAGAGATTACATAATATAGGTATACTTTTCACGCTAAGAAGCCTTTCATAGCGACCTTATTACAACACAAGACAGGCAACGGCTGGAAGGTAACTATATAACATAAGGATAGACAGAGGGGACAAAGCTAGATTTATACATTCACATTACACATTCCATCCTAAATTTTTCTTTTAGTCCTTTTTAAATATTCCCAAAAAAATTTGGTTAAACCTAATATTATGACGAGAGATATATAAAATGGAAGATTAACACTGAGGAAGAAGTATTTGTTTTTTTATTAGATTTTCCAATAGATATTTAATAGCAGCCTCATTACATATGCACCCGAACATCCAATGATTGATATCGTCAGTGTTGCCATTACAATCACAAAGTTCGCTTTCACTTAAATTAAATTTATGAAGATAGGTTTTTACAGTAGCATGATTAACAAGGCATTTAACAAACGTTTAATATACTCTTCTATTGGGATGACTTCTTGCCGTCAAAGGCGCAGTAGGTAAAACAGGGTGAATTTTTATGTAAAGGTTGTTACTTCTGTTACAAAAAGTATTTCATTCAATTTCCCACGTTTCTTTTAATTCTTGTTTACGCAGCGAGACTAAATCACTTCTATTGAGGCAGCTAATTTTTAATCCGTTTGAAGCTGCTTCTTTAGCAAAATAATCTGCTTTGGTGTTACCCGAGATACCAGCATGTCCTTTTACTCAAATCAAATAGACTGAATTATTTCTTTGAAGTAGCTTCAGTTGATTTTCTAAAATTTGGACGATAATACTGTTTTTGTATAAATGCTTATGCGAATTATCTAAAACAGACAGCACAGATTTTGAATCCAACATGATTACTATTTGTTAATGAGACATTCTTTTCTCAATAGTCCATTCCAGAGCTTGACATACTGCAAATAGTTCTGCGTAATAAATGGAACATTGTTGGTTTAATTTAAACCTAATGTGTTCTTGATTGTTTTGGATATAAACTGCACAACCAACTCCCAAAATGGATTTTGACCCATCTGTAAAAATTCTATATGGCTTATCAAATTTGGTAAGTTGTTTATGAAGTTGAATGGCGTTGGTATCATCAAAAGTAGGAAAATTAACTTTGTCTTGGGAATAAAGAATATTGAAATTAGATTGGAAGAAATTAGTTTCAGCTATGATTTCTAAATAGGAAGAAATATTAGGAAATGCTATAGCTAAAGTTGGAGAATTTCTATTATGCCACCATTTGTCAACTACGTTAGACACAGATATGTCGGATATTTTTTGCACTAGGCAGGATTGGTTATTACTTTGACATTTAAAGATAAACTTTTCAGCTAAAAAAGACGTCTTAAATATAATATAGGTTCCATAGATTCGGCTAATAGGTGTTCAGTAGGTGTAGATTTAAGTGCACCTAAACCCAAACGTAGAGCTTTGTACTAAATTCGGTCTAATTTTTTAAGTCTAGTGTTTGTAGCAGACCCATATAAAAAGCAACCATAGTCAAGAACTGACCTGGTATATGCCCTATCAAACATTAGATTAACGTTTTTGGACAGGTATACTTAGATTATTAATTCTAATGCTGGATATATTCGGTGAGCGATGACGAGTAAATAACAGCACAGCGGATTTATTCGAAATAAGTTTCAATCCCCAAATGCAATTAAATAATTTTTTTCGAAAAAAGATTCTTCGTATCGCTAAATCGATTTAAAGTATTTAAAACCTGACTTAATTGTTTATATTCTTAAGTTGTAGACGGCAAGTTTTTATTGCCATCATTACCAATAGATTTAATATTGGAATTATTAATAAGAGAATCATCGGAATTTAAAACATTTTCAGTATTATTGACCTCAGAAAAAACAATATTTTCGACGTGAATATTACTTAACATGTTGTTATTAACTTGATCCTGTAGAGGTGGGTCTTTGGCACCTACGCCATTTTTACCCTGGGACATCCCAGGGTTAAGTATTTATCAAACAAATATAGGAAATAATAATACTTGCAGTACAAATAGTAAACTAATAACTTAAAATTAACGGAAACCTAATTAAAAACCCAAATAAATTCGATTGAATACGAGACACACTCACACAACCGGTCCGCACTATACAAAGGTTCAAACGGAACTTAGGTTAGGTTAAATCATCGAGCAAAAAGACAAAAGAGGGAATCTAATCCTTATGAAAAGGAGACCAAAAAAGTGGCCTCTGATGGCGGACATATCCGGAAATGCGAATGCGCCACATTTAAATTTTCCGACACTTGTTAACAGTAGCTATATAATATTTTTCAGAATGTGTCTTAGACGAGAAAGTTTTAATTAATTAGTAACGATAATAGTCTAAAATGCGACACAATTGTTAAAAAACTTCAATATAAATAAGATTTCATGTGACATTTGGGACAAACAATAACATAACCCAACTAAATTTGATGTCAAACAAGGAGAGAGACTCTCTTTCCTTGTTTAATGTGGCCTCTAAAGATCGCACTTCCTGTCTAACAATATTTGTGCCTCAATACCTTTACATTCCCTCTTTTGTCTTTTTGCTCGATGGGTTAAATAGAGCTATTTTTGTCCCAAAATATGTGGTTTATATTATAATCTACCTGTTTCATATTTTAAGAGTGTAAGTTTTATATTTAATTTTAAGTTTAATAATATATATTAATCAATTATTTTAAAAATGGCAAACCCTAGTATAAAAATAATAAATATTTAAGTGTAAAATCAGTTAGATTATTGTTATTATTAGGTCCTTTGCTGGTGAACCTATATCTTTGATTGCTTAATTATATTATCTCATATTTTCTTTGTGCTCATTCGTAACAATATTTTTAAGAGTATAATATCTCTTTAATCAGGTTAAAGTAGATCATTTTACATCTTTATCTCTTGGTTTTTTTTTAATTTCTATATTTTTTATAATAACTTAATGTTGAATAATACGTAAAGATCTCATCTAAATATATGATTTTTGTTTAAGCATCGATTAGTATTTTATCGACACTTATTCTAATATTATCATTATTATTTCTATTCAACTCGGCATTACAATTATAAATAGGTGTATTCTTGTGCATTTAATTTGCCTTTGTTGCTCGTTGTTGTTGTTACATCATCTTTTTTTATATTTTCCCTCTTGTAGTTTTTTTTATACATGAATATACCTAATAATCCAACTAACCAAACTTATGTGTCCACAAATGCTCTTTACAGAAGAAAACTAAAAATTGTAGAAATCGTTTTATATAGATTTGATATAAATCATCTAATCGAAAAGTACTTCCTAATGAAGCTAGATTTCTTTACAGATAGCGCCATGTATCAGTTTAATTTTATTACCTTTTAAAATCTCTCAGTTCTATATCTTATGTCTATTTTCATAGAATGTAGACATTCGATCTATAGTCTATAAATAAGGGATTGCATTATATATATATATATATATATATATATATATATATATATATATATATATATATTTATTACACTTGAAATCTACCCATTGCCTTGGAGTGAATACGTTTTTAATTACAGTCATAAGCCGCTCGTTTAGAAAATATATTAGACAGTTAATTCATAACTATTTTGTCTTTAATATTTTTATTATTTTGACTTAGTACCTATTTAACAAATTTCTATTTTTATGGTCCTTATGACGCACCGATTTTGGAAAAAAGCTATAACGATTTAATTTGCCTACCACATTGGGTATCACTTACAGGGGTTTAAAAGTGGGGACTGAGCAATTCTTGGGCTGCATTATATATTTATTATTACTTCACATCAACAGCTATTACAAATAATATTAACGAAATTTATCAACAAACCTTACAGGTTGGGCGACAGCTGTAACAATTTCACAACTAGTTGTAACTTTTTAAATAATTGTTGGAAATAAAAATTACTTAAATGTTTTAATGGAGCTTACATTGAGGTTAACCTTTAAACAAAACAATTTAAAATGATGGTTATGTACAAAATGTCAGAACAGGTTAATACTGACTTTCCTACGTCGAAAGGAAATATTAAACCTTTTTGAAATATTAATTTAATATTGTTAACTTTTTTTAAAAGAAGACTAACGTGACAATTAGCTAATCCATAAAATGTATAATTTTATTTATTTATAGTTTTTTAGTTTATCATTAAAGTTTTTTTTATTAATGAAAAATTGCTTATTTTTACTTTTATTAATTTTCATAAAAACTACCTGGTATCGCTGGCTGGTGTATTTCCTTTAAGAAAGTTTTTTGAATTGAATGAAAAACAGTGCTAACAACACACAACTGTGTACCACAGAATCTGCAAATAGTCTGAGGTGACCATAAAACATAAAACTGGACAAGATCTTGAAGGTAGAACACAGATTCGGGCTTCGGATTAACCTTAATGACAACAAACTGCAATCTTTATAACTCCACTCAATTTCTTCTAAAAATCATGTAAACCTCTTAAATGGTTGAAAACGTCTCAAACGAAAACCCATCTTACAAATCCCTCAGACAGAGCGCAGCATCAACAAACGGTGATTTACTCAACAAAATCTGCCAAATAGCATCTTTTGCCCAAATTCCCCTCTCAACTTAAAAAATTGGCCGATTTAAAGACTACATGCCGAAAACTATCTCCTCCAAATTAAATTTTTTTCTTCTTACTGTTTTGATTATGACCGTAAGACTGCTGGGCTTTCAAAATTGTAGGAATTATTTAATTAAAAGGTAAATGTTATCTACGCAGTTAAAATTTCTCTTAGATGTTTTCGCATAATACTTATGTAAACAAACTTCAAGGAATTTTTATACATAGCCAGGGACATATCAAATAATTTATATACATTAAATATTTGATATTTATAAGCAAATTATTAATGCTACACAACGATTTATAGTTTTCATGTACACATACAAACAACAAAGTTTATTTCTAAAAGATAGACATAAAAAATAAAAAAAATAAAAATTGTATTAATGTTTAATTATTGCATTAATCCATTTTTCCAACTAATAACCTAAACTAGACTAAAAAATAAATTCTAGTAAAACTAAGCTTTTTATATAAATAAATAAAATTATACCAAAATGACAACTAAAAGCATAAAACACAAAAATTACTCTACAACAGAAGTTTTGCATGATCCCTTCGTTTCTACGCACAAATTTATTCGTGCACGTAGAGATCGCCTAATTCTCGCAAAAACTCCCCCTGTGTTACCGAATTCGTTGGAGGCATACTAAATTCCTCTTCAAAACTGATCATGCTTTTCTATTTGTTGTGAGTAAACCACTGATTTTAGATGTCCCTACACAAAAAAGTAGCAAGGATTTAAATCAGGAGACCTTACTGGCCAAGCAACTGGACCGCTTCTTCTGATTCATTGCTCACGGTAATTATTATTTAAAAGGGTTCAAATAATCATATTGTAATGAAACGGACAACCATTGTGCAGAAACTCCAAGTTTTGCCGAATATTTAAATTAATCTTCTTCTGACTGGCTTCACAATTCGGGGTGAGTCTTCGCCGCATCCGCTATCGTATCTTTTAAAAATTACAGATCTAATAAATCTAAATTGAATAGATGTATTAAAAATCTATTAAAGTAATACCATCGCAAAAATCATGTAGAATATTTTGTAAAAAATCGTGATAATCCTGATCCTTTAAATGGTTGGGCAATTCTACAGGCCCGAGTAGATTATCATTAGGAGCACCTATTTATACATTTATGGTATGACGAATATAACCAAGATAGACATGATAATGTATATTATGCATATCAACAATTATGTATAAAAGTACATCTTTTGTACAAGTGTGGGTCAAACTGACATCAGGTGTATGTTCTTAAAAAACTTGATAGTTTGTAATTTTTTTTTATATAAATCAGCAGCTATACAATTGTACAATTGTAAAAAATTAATTTCTCTTAAAATATTGTTCCTTATAGGAAGCTTTGAAGATGGAATGATACATGCCAAAAGTGCTCAGCTGATTTAAGTACAAAAATTGTTGCACTATTTTACAAGTTTTTTGAGAACATACACTTGTTGCCAGTGTGACTTATATTTTAGAAGTGTGTAAAAGTCATACCGTCTTTTTCCAATTTTGTAAAAGTGGCTTCGTCATAAAACAAAATATGCAAGAACGTTTCGGTTTTCTTTATTTTGTTAGCCGACTAGAAATGTTAATTAAAAATTATATATAATTAGAAAGGATTAAGGTTATATTATGCAAAATGCTCCACATAGAAGATTTTAAGATATTGTAATACATTGCGTTCAATCTTTTACGCTAATTTCGGGAGTTGCTCAACTTACATTATAGTATCAAATCAACATAAAATAAGTTCCACAACTAGTAAATTTTTAATTTAAAGAGCGTTTGTTGACACCCTACCATGTATACCTAAAGTTCTTAATAAAATATAACTTAGTGTTTACTTACCGGTGTGACATTTATTAAAGCTACACAAAAGGAACATATAATTATTCCTAGAGTGAAAATTTCTCTGGAGTATTTCTTATTCTTAAAAAAACTGGAAAATTCATCCATTAGGCCAGTTATGACACATTCCAAGCCGCCCATCTAAAATAAATGCGACAATTATTATTTTGCAATGAAGTTTAGTATATATAAATGTATATATATATATATATATATATATATATATATATATATATATATATATATATATATATATAATTAACTTAATAGTTACCTTAGTTAATTAATAAAGACTACCAACAAATGACATATGAAGTTTAGCAACATAAGGAAAAAATATATTCTTCTTCTTAAGGTGCCGTGCATTTCTGCGTAGGCGTCCACCGTACATCGTCTTGTCAGGTGAGATGTTAAATATTCTGGATTAAATAATTCTGTTTTTAGCAGCATTGCGAAGCATTCCCTTCGAGTATTAGTTGCTGAAAATCGTTCTCCTCGTATAATGTGCCCCAAATATGCAGTCTTCTTACTTTTTACATAATTAAAAAGTTTCCTATCCTGTAAGCCCGCTCTTCTGAGTACTTCCTCATTTCTGACCCTGTCCGTCCATCATATTCTGAGCATTCGACGCAGGCGCCACATTTCAAACACTTCAAGTTTGTTAATGGAACTGGCCTTTAACGTCCATGCTTCCGTTCCGTACAGGAGAACAGGCCACACGTAACACTTAAGCATCTTGTAACGGAGGTTAAAGTCCAATTTGCGATCAGTCAGAAACTTACGAAGCCTCAAAAAAGCATTTCTGCCTTGTTCAACTCTGCTCTTTATTTCATTCTCGGGGTCCCAACCCTCATTCAGCAAACATCCCAAGGATTTAAATTGCCTGACTTGTTCGATTTCTTCTCCATAGACATATAACTTTGCGTTGGAGTAATCATTTCTACTTATAATCATTGATTTTGTCTTCTTGACATTTATTTTCAAACCCCGAGCTTCACTTGCAAGAGTTAGATCATTTAAAAGGCATTGAAGATCTTCGATGTTATCTGCCACTATGGCTGTATCATCGGCATACCTGATGTTATTAATAAATATGCCGTTAACTTTAATACCCTTATTAGAGTCTTCCACTGCTTCTGCGAAGGCTTTTTCTACGTATAAATTGAACAGCATTGGGGACAGTATACAACCTTGCCTTACTCCTTTTTTAATGGAGAAATCTTCTGTTTCCTTGGAATTTTGAATACGTACTGTTGCTGTCTGATTCCAATACAGATTGGCGATTATTCTTATATCCTTATTAACCTTTAAAGTTTTTGATACAGTGCTGACGTTTTATTTAATAAACACTAAGAAGATGCTTACGAACATTAAAAACTCATCAAATAATATTATCAAAGTCCAAATTATTACTAAAAACTAAAGACTAACGAGAAAGTCACTAGTATTCCTTAGATTTTGTTAATTTATTGTACAAATAGTAACATGTACCATGACTTACACTAAACTATTAACTTTTTAAGCTATTAAGCTTTTCTCTTAACTAACTCAAAGGGTTCTTCCTCTTGAGTCTTCTAGAGAGATTTGTGTTGTCAAGGAGTTGAATAGCCCAACACTTATTGAAGTAGTCGTTATTCGTGACTACTGACAATTTTTTCAATGGTCTTGTTAACACTATTTATTTCTAGGTCTCTATGGAGATCACTTTTCCTATAAGACCAAGGAGCGTTGGCAATGCTCACTAGCAGTATGTTTTGAAATCGCTGGACGATGTCTAAATTAGTCATACTAACACAACCCCATAGCTGGACGACATATATCCATATCGATTTTATAATCTGTTTGTATAAAAGTATTTTGTTGTAGATTGACAGGGGGACTGCCTTCCTAATAGTAAATCATTTTATGTACTTGATGTTAAGCTGTTCTTTTTTGTCTAATGTAAAGTCCCAATATTTTACGGTATCGAAATATGATATATGAATAGTTATCTGAATAGTCTCCAATGTTGTATTTTGGCGTTTCAACGTTGGTCTTTTTGTCTAGTAGTATGACCTGCGAAGCTTCATTTGAGTTTAGCAATTTTTGTTTGGGGTAAGTACTTTTAATTTTTAGTTAACCTGTAGCAGCTTCGGTGCAGGTTTTTTCTATTCGTTTCAGTTGTTGCATCCTTTGCGGCTGTTTAGGTTTGGTGATTTTTTTGTGTCGTTTATTCTTTATCTTTTGCATTTATTTTGCTACCGTGCATCCTCTGTAGTTAGTTAAATGGCTTTCTTCACAGTGGTTATATTTTGCCTGGGTATATTAAGGTTTATCTCAATTGATGGCCAGCTTCATTCCAATATATCTAACACTCCTTGCTTTTCTTGCATATTATTTTTCTGTGTGGCTTAAAGCTTAGTATTTTTTATATTGCGGCACGAATCTGTATTCTCTTAAGGGCAGAATCTGAATTCTAACTCCTTATGCATAAGAAATTTTGAATATTTTACCGATATTTTCATATTGTGTAAATTATATTATGGACATGTTAAGAAGTTGTTTATTTTCCCATACAATGGAAATTTGCTTAAGTTACTATGATTCCGAAACCTGGTAAGTTTGCAGCAATGTCGAAAGTATTCTTCTCTTCTTCACGTGCCATCTCCGCTACGAAGGTTGGCTATCATCATGGCAATTTTGACCCTGGAGGCTGCCGCTCGAAACAATTGTATGGAAGTGCAAACAAACCACTCCCTGAGGTTTCTCCACCATAACATTCTTTTCCTACCTATGCTGCGCCTACCTTCAATCTTTCCTTGCATAATTAGTTGTAACAGTTGATATTTATTTCCACATGTAATATGTCCCAGGTATTGTAGTTTCCTCATTTTAACACTCAATACGACCTCCTTTTGTTTGTTCATCCTGTCTAATATAACTTGGTTAGTTATATTATCCTTCCAGGAGATTTTTAACATTCTTCGGTACGTCCACATCTCAAATGCCTCCAGCTTACCCATACATTGCTTATTTAGTGTCCACGCCTCCACCCCATATAACAGGACTGAGAAACCATAACATTTAAGCATTCGTATTTTCAGCTTTAGGCTTAGGTTTCGGCTACACAACATTTATTTCATATTGTTAAAGGCGCTGCGGGCTTTCTCTATTCTTATTCTGATTTCTCTGGCGTATTCGTTTGACTCGTTAATATTTGTTCCGAGGTAATTGTAATTTTGTACACGTTCAATGAGATTCTGTCCTACATGCAAGTTGATATTATTGATACGTTTCTTTGTCTTTATCATGAATTTGGTCTTCTTTGTATTCAGTGACAGACCAAATTCTTCACTTGCTTCTACCACTTTGTTTAGTAATCTCCGTAGGTTGTCAATATTTTCTGCTATGAGCGCGGGATCATCAGCATATCGGATATTGCAAATGGGGTGACCGTTGATCTTTACTCCGGCTTTTTCGTTCATAAGAGCTTTTTTAATAACTTCTTCCACGTAGACATTGAACAAGGTTGGAGACAACACACAGCCCTGCCGATCACCTCTTTTGATCTGTATTCTATCTTATATCGAGCTGTTAATTCATACTGTAGCTTCTTGTTTGTAGTATAGATTTCTTATCACTCGCATGTCCCTTGTATCAATATTTTTATTTTCCAGTATTTGCATCAGTGGCCTATGTTTTACTGTATCAAATGCTTTGTTATAGTCTAGGAAACACACAAATATGTCCTGATTTACGTCTAAGCATCGTTGTGTTAGAACATTAAAAGCAAACAGTGCCTCTCTAGTTCCTAGTCCGTCTCTAAAGCCAAATTGAGAGGGTCCGATGTCAACTTCCAATTTTTTATATATTGTCCGATGGATAATTTTTAAAAAGACCTTTAATATATGACACATGAGACTGATGGTGCGATGTTCCGAGCATTGTCTCGCCTTAGACTTTTTGGGTATGGCTAATATTGTTGTTACTAGCCATTCATTAGGTATGATACCAGATTTGTAAATGCTGTTAAATAGTTCCACGATCTTTATTAAGTTGTTGCCTTTGATGAGTTTAATTATGTCTATTGGTAGTTCATCTGAGCCTGTAGCCTTCCCTGATCTCATTTCTTTAATTATGTATTCCACTTCATCTTTTGTTATTTCTGGTCCTGTGTCACTGTTTATGTATTCGTTATCTACATTGTCTCTTTGATCTTTAAATATTTGTTCTATGTACTGTTTCCAGACTCTTAATTTTTCTTCTGTGTCCATAATAAAAAAAAAATGTCGAACGTATTAGACAAGACTAATATATAAAATCGAGCAAGTTTTTCCATCAACAATGCCACATAATAGTAAATATAATTAAAATAACTCTCAAAAATAAAAAGTTTTACGCTGGAGTCTTTCTTGATATACAACAGGCATTTGATAGAGTTTGGCATAAAGGTCTTTTCTAAAAACTGCAATTTCACCTAACAGACCAACTATACCTTATACTGAAATCATATCATACTGACTGTTACGTCCAAGTCCACTACTCAAATTACCACATCATACAATCTGGCGTACCTAAGCGTAGTGTTCTGGTAGTATTTCGGTATCTGATATTTCCAGCAGACATTACAAACAGCAATGATACCTTCTTAGCTACTTTTCCCCATGAAACAGGAATCTTGGCAGTGAATATCAACCCTAATTTAGCATTACAAAAAGTACAAAATCATTTAGACCAATTACAAAAATTGACTTAAGCAGTGAAAGACAATGTAAATGCCAGCAAGTCAGTACAAATTACTTCTATAACAACAAAATCCACATGTATATAAGGTTCTATTAATATTACTTTCATTCCCATAAGACCAGCTGTCAAATACTTGTATAAAAAACTAACATGGGAAAGACACATTAAACCTCAACGAAAACAACCAGATTTGCAACTAAACAATATTAACTGACTATTTGACAAAATGTATCAGTTACATCTTCATAATAAACTGCTCGTGTACAAAGCAAAGTTTATACCAGTTTGTGCATATGGAGTAGAACTATAGGGCTGCAGAAAATATGAAGATACTTTAAACATTCCAATCCAAAATACTCCATATAATAAGAAAATCTCCATGATATATATCTAACCAAACACTTCGCAATGATCTGGACATCCCACTACTTAGGGATATAGTAAAGAACCATTCCATAAAATTTAAAAATCGCACCACTGATCAAAAAAACGAACTGATAAATAATTTGTTTACCCAACCACTCGCCGAAAGAAGATTGAAGAGAGTATGGCTTGAAGATCTACCGCAATAATACTTAGACTGTGACTAAATACCGTCACTGGACGGTATCCTAACTCACGTTAATTTACTTACAGACTATTTACTTATTACTCTGTGTTTAGATTAGATTATCCACAAGGAATCTACGTTCCTGCAGTTGGCTGTATACCATATATTAAAAAATTTATTAAAAATCCTTTGTAAAAGGTATATATTTAGACCCAAACGGGCTAAGTTAAAAAGACAAAACGTTTTTGGAATCCATATTCCATCATCAGTTTCTAAGAGTACATGAATGTAGCCACTAAATACATGGGTAAAAATCCGTTAACAAATAATTAATTATATTTAGTTTACAAATTTTCTTGTAATGGTTTAGGATGTTAAAGCTACCGTTGGATTAGGTAACATGGCGACATATGACTCAACGTCAAAGTTGCTAGTCTTGAGACAGTGTGTCTACGAAGACTGTATGGGAGCAACTGACTGTATGGGAGCAACAACTGTAAAATAAATAGATTAGATTATATTTTTCCATCGTAATATACATTCCCATATTGGAAAAGAAGAAACCGGCGGATTTTAGATTAAACGTAGACATTCTACTTTCCACTCTCCTTCTTGTGGCATAATATATTATGTAGAGGTCATTGTATATGCAGAAAGCAACAATAATAACAACTTTTAAATGTCACGTTATAAAAAATAAATTTGTCATTACTAAACTACCAACACCCCTGATTTAGAAGTAACTTCACAACCAATTATAATTATGATTTTTTACGGCTTTGCTTTATAGTACTAAAGTATATATATATATATATATATATATATATATATATATATATATATATATATATATATATATATATTAGATACTATACTACACGTATATGAATAACATGCCACATGTATGAAACATAAACGATGTATATAATGATAGTTATAATGTTAAGTAAATTTTTAAATAGCAATGTTCTGTTCCATGTTCGCATTTAAGTTTTAAATTTTTATTAAAAATGTTCATTAGTTAATGTTCACAAATGACCATTTGATATTTTTGTGGTCAACACAAAATTTTGTGGTATTGGCTATCAAAGTGTTATTTCTTAAATTGAAATTGTTATTTTTGTTTATCTACTATTTTTTTGTCTATTGATGCAAGCATTTTAAATCAAAAATCCTAAAATTTAAAAACCTTTTTATATTTCAGGATGAGTGATTGAGTTGAACAATGACTACATTGTCAACGAATAATGAAAAGGCAGAAGTATCAAACGAAATCAAGATGAATTCCTTCTTTAGTTTTAATAAAAGTCGCATTATTTTTAATTTCTCGAGTTATTTTCAGGTCACTTACATCTACCTGCAATACTGACTTAATTTAAAGTAATTACACATACCGAGAGAAAAGCTGCAAATTTTAATTACTTTACAGTATGTGACAGAACAAAATAATTTGTTAAGTATTTCAATATAGCGTTCAATTTAAAACCACATTGTCAAAATAAAATATTAGCTATTTGAATTGTATTTCGAAACTATTTTACGATTAGCTATTTTATTTTTAGAATAATTTCCAAAAATTAAGTTTATTAAATAAAATGCCACAAGAGACCTTTGTAAATATGCCACAAGAAACATTTGTAATATTGGATAATTGGATGGTTCGTTGGATAGAATCATTACTAGAACATTACTACTGAACATACTTTTACCACCTAGACTTATTTCATTTTCTTATTCTATACCATAAGGACGTAACTATAGTTATAGTCTTACGAACTACATAACCTGTTTAGAAGTGTTAACAAATAATTTTCAAAAGTGGCCAAGATCTTAGATTTTAGATTAGAGATGTACAAAACACAGGTTCAGTATCGTAAATAGAACACTCTTTCTGTAATATATTGAAATATCAATGTTGTGTCTCAAAGAAAAACTGTAGAAAGCAATGGCAATAAAAAGATACAATCAAATTATCCACTAAAGCTAGATAAATGAGAAAAAATGCAAACTCAGGACAAATTGTATATTGTAAATGAAAAAACCAATTACAATAATTAGTAATACAAAATAAAATATGAAATTAAATATAAATCTTGAAATCCCTGTTCTAGCTAAAACTTAGAAACAATGGTAGAAACAAAAAACCTAACTTAAAACTTAAAAATGTGCAGTTGTGGTGTTATGGTTCGTTTCACAAAAGAAATAGTCAGTCTTTAGCACAAATGCTGGAGTTAATAAAGTCTAATGCGAGTATGATGACAGCCAATCTTGGAGTGTTGAATGTGGAGCACAAAGTATTTCCCTAAGTTTCCTTTTAATTGAATGGTACTCGATGAAATATTTTAAATTATTTCTTATGTTTATATTGAAATTTAAGCAAAGAGTACAAAGGTAAGTAGGAGATAGACTCATTCTCTGATGGCACTATTATAAAGAAAAATTTACAGAACTGTAGATTGGCATGGAAACTAATTTAAGACTAAACTAATAAGTCTGCTGTACCACATCCAGATCTACTAAAACCTCCTCTATATTAATTACTTACCAGCCATTACTAAGTGGCATTACTGATGTTATGAAACAAGGAAATCTATAACAACTAATCTTGAAAAACAAAAACACTTAAACACTTTTCTTGTCATCAAGAACACACTGTTTACTTTTGCAGAACTATTCACTAATAAAAAAAAATTATTGAACAGAACATATAAAGCCTTTTGAGCCTATTAACAACTAGTGGTCTGTAAAGATAACAAATAAATGTACTGAGAGCCGCAACTTTTTAAAACTAAAGGAAAGCCCATGTATTTCTGATCCTGAAGCAATTATTTCAAAACAAACTGGATTCAGAACGTTTATCTCATACTGGTTGATTCTACATTTTATATGTTACAGTATATATGTTTAGTTATTTTCTTATTACTTGATCGTCCCTACAAAGAATCGGAATTATATCGAAACGACTGTTGTACCTCGGATGAGTACCGATCTGACAAAAATGACATTTTTTCTAATAAAAATTCTTATCTCAATCGGATTCGAACTCTCTAGCCCTGAGTTTAAAAACTCAGTAAAATGAGGCTTTCAAAACTGCTCAATCAAGGTACTTTGATTTCTGACAGTTATAGACTTGTTTCCAGACTTATACAGTTTAGATTGTTACAAAGAAAATGATTGTGTGATCGTAAGGTAAGAATGGTCGGTGGATAAAAAAAGAAACAATTTCCGTTCCTCAAGCTACCTCAAGGCAGGACTTTGTTATCCAGTAACGTCAATGACCAGGCCAATATGCCAAATATCAGAAGATCTATTTATAAATATTGCACGATTATTTTTTGTCGAGCGAGGACAAGTGATTAGTTGAAATTAGTTATAATTAGGTGAAAACTAACCTATAAGAAACCCTGTAGTTATGACGCTATCATAAGAATAGTAATAAAGAAACACAGAGTTATGTATTTAAGCTGCAAAAGAGCTGGGAGAGAGATGAGTGTAACCTGGTATGGACTTAAACTGAAGCACTTTAACTATGCTAGATATCTGGGTCTTATATTACATACATATATTACACTCTCGTTGAAACAACATTAAACCATGAGCTTTAATCTGTCGTTACATCCCATTATGTTGCCGTTACGCTCAAAGAGACCATGAGAATCAATACTGAATATTTTAAACCAAACGCCTGTACTATAAAATAATCAATTACAATTTTTTTTATTAATTTATTAATTAACTAAAAGTATAAAATTTTTATTTGCGGTTAATACATTTAAAGTGTGTATACTTACGGCAGAATCAACTCCCAACATTATAAGCATAAAGAAAAACAAAATAGCCCATAACTGAGAGCCAGGTAAAGTCGCAACTGCCTCTGGGTATACTTGAAATACTAGTCCTGGACCTATAAGCATAATTAATTAATATATGTGATATGGAACCATTTACTATTATTTTAAATTATAAAGTTACGTTGGTTTGTGTTTTTGTTTTTAATTTATTGTAAAAATATACTTTAAAAAACAATCAACAAAAGATGACAGCGAATCTTTGTTATTGTAATTATTGTACAAATACATAATATTTTAGAACAAATTAAAGATGGTCATAGGATATTGTACATAAAATATATTTAAAATTTTTCGAAAAATCCAAAGAGAGAAAAATAGACAAGCTTTAAAAACATAATTGCACTTTAATCTTTTTGCATGTTATTTTTTGTCAATTAGAGCATCTTTTACTGCCGCCACAAATTGGATGATTTTAGGCATGCGTTTAATTCGTAAGCAGCAGTCAATTGGAGTATTAAATAACAAACAGTCAGACAATAGAATCGTGGCTCCACCAAAAATGTTTTTGATTTTCACGAATATCTTTCAACGCTCTATCCAGTCTCTGTAATTACTTCTTCTGGGCAAAGTACATTTATCCAAAACGATTATTTTACATAACTGTAAAATCTTTGGCATTGCTGTATTTTTGGCGATGTTGCCAGCAGGTATTATTATTTTGTATGTTTAATGGTAATATATATATCGCACCCTCAGTGCAAGACTGCAGTAACTCAAAATTTTATAAAAATGAAGTAATCATGGAATTAGATTGTAAACATGCATATCTATCCCCTGTAAAACTTTAGTAACTTTCACATGCTTAACCAGCTAAATATTACAACAACAACAGTTTAACTATTTTGCGTTTTTGTACATAAGTTCCGTGCAAAACTGTTGTAACTCTCATGTAACAGAGTTACAACAGTTTTGCACGGAACATTGCAATGGTTTCGATAACAAGCAATAAAAAGCACGAAAAAAGTGAGATCTTTGTCATATTTGTTATTTTAATATGTATATCTGTGGTGTTTAATATTAATATACAGTGTGTCTACGTAATCCATCAACGGCCTAGACAATAAACAAAGATTAACGAGACCAAATTATTCATGTAAGTTTTATGTCCTTTGTGTGTCATTATATTTTCCATAAAATGTTTGCGATGTCGTTTAGCCATTTATTTATTAGATTGGATTAAAAACACATAAACTAAGACTAATTATTTACAGCCAAAAAGTATTTTTTTATGAAAGGAAAAACAGTTATATTAGAACTTGTGTATTAACAATACTGACAGGTTAAAAATATCTATTCTCAGAAAACTTGTTCTATAAAATATAAATCCTAAACTATATTAAATATTCACGTAACCTTCCGGGGCGATTGTCTTATCATATTATTGTCCCTACGTAATTCCCAACTTTTACTAAGGTAGTGAATTCCAATCCTTTTGTTAATCAATTTACTCAAGGTAGTCTGATTTGCATATTTTTATTATAGTCGTTTTGTTTTGAATTTAAATAAAAATATTCAAAGTTTTACAAATAATGTTTCTACCTTATTATGGCATTGTCATTACAAAGCGAAGGATTTTTGGCTATCAGAAACATGTGCAGAAATAAAAATATTAAATTGCCGCTAACAATAAACCGTTTTATGAGGTGTAATACCTATTTATTCTAGGTAGCTATCTGATTTCTTGGACTCTATTAAATGTAAAGTTTATTACCATACCACGATTGCTGTTGGGGATTACATTTTCTTTACTTACCGGATGATTTATTGGAATTTATTAAACGTATATACTAAACCCCGGAAATTACTTTCCCTTTATCTATCAGGTGATTTCTGTGAATACATTAAATGTAATGTTTAGTACTATTCCTATCGTTGTTGGAGATTACTTTCTCTTTACCTACCCTATTAACTCATTAAGGTACATTTTAGTAGTGTAGTTTTTAATATAATCTGTTATTAACCCTTGCAAGTGATATATGCAGAATTAACGATTTCGAAAATGTCAAAATTTAATAGTTCCAGAACATTGAGGATTTTATCCCTGTGTGCTCAGACAAGTGAGGATAGCAACGACATGCAGAGTAAGTTGAATTTAAATTAATTGTTGTAATATAATCTATTTATCTACTCTTGTTTTCAAATTCAATGGTGAGAATTTCTACGACTAGTGTAAACTGAACGAAATAGGGGCGTTCAAAAAAATACTTCTGATTTAAGCGAAATGATTAAAAGTACATAGACACAATGTATTAGAGAAACAATAATACCAAAGTTTATTTATCAAAATAATTTTAAATTCGAAACCGCACGATAACAATATTACTACTTATTTACAGAGACTGTTTCAACTTCTTATTTTTCTTCTTCTTTCGGTGTAGCCATGTCTGCCTGTTTTTTCAATGCGTGGTAATTTTATTGTATTCTTCTGTTTCTTACCCAATTATTGTTTGTTTTAACTTTTAAATCGTTTTTATTTTCAGATACTATCAATGGTACGTCATTAACTGCTATCGGTGATCAAGTTCAAATTTTAACGAACGTTGAAATACCGAGAGAGGACTTAGAGAGAGATCTCCCAGAACCAATTCCAACTTATGACGCTACATTAATGGAAACACCAAACGAAGCTACTGAAGATATGGACGATTAAATTATGACCAGTGAAATAGGGATTCAACAGAGATACAATGGTGCTGACAATGTTGTAGACGGGGAACAGGTTGATGCAGAAAACGACTTTTCCAATGATGGTTCTATGCAAGATCTCACATATCTCCCAGAACAAATTCCAACCTATGATGCTGCAGTAATGGAAACACCAATCGAAGCTACTGAAGATAGTGACCGTGAAAGTGACAGTTACAGTGTATGTTGTGCGAGAAAACGAAGTGCAAATCCTGAAGAATGGAGACGAAATAAGGTCAAGAAACTTCGCAACTCTGGTAAGTCCTACAAGTCAAATAAAGGTACAATCATGCACGCTCGACAGATGAAAGAAGCTTGTTCTCAAACTTGTCGTTTAAAATGTTTTGAAAATTCTGTGGATATAAGAATGTATATTCATCGAAAATTTTGGGACCTGGGTAACATAAACTTACAAAGAGACTTTATATCACGACACACCAATGAAGTTAGACCTAAGTATCAAAATAAAATACCTGGAAGCAATCGCAAACATAACTTGCAATATAAATTTAGGATTAACAACAAGGACACTCAAGTATGCAAGACATTTTTTCTTAATACTTTGGGAGTGAGTGATCGATATATTTACACCACATGGAAGAAAACTGATGATGCTGGTATCCTCGAAGATGATCGAAGAGGGAAGCACGTGGCTCATAAAAAATCTGATAAAGTTGCCTTGGAAAAAATACGTCAGCATATAAAGATGTTCCCGACCATCGAAAGTCACTATTTAAGGGCTCAAACTAGTAGAGTTTTTATTGATGGTAGCTTAACCATATCCGAAATGTATAGACTATACAAAGATAAGTGTATTTCAGACGGCGATATTTGTCTTAAAAAACATCACTATGAACGCATATTTAATTATGAATTTAACATTGGATTCTTTTCTCCTAAAAAAGATCAATGTTCAGAGTGTGAAGTGTATAAAAACTCTAATGAAGAGCAGAGAAAATCATTGCAGGACAACTACGACTTGCATATTAAAAACAAAAATCAAGCACGCGAATCAAAGAAACAAGATCTAGAATTAGCTAGTGATGTAAATCAGTATTCCGTTTGCGATTACGATCTTCAAGCTGTATTACAGACGCCATGCGAAGATGTATCAATGTTTTATTATAAGCGACGTTTAAATGTGTATAATTTCACATTATTTGATAACGTATCCAAACAAGGATACTGCTTTATGTGGAATGAGTCTGTAGCGAAACGAGGAAGTAATGAAATTGCAAGTTGTATCTATTATTACATGACAAATCATGCAATAAGCAAAAATTTAATTTTTTTTAGCGACAACTGTGCCGGGCAGAACAAAAATAAATTTATCGCCTCTATGTATTTATATGTTGTTACTAATGTGAGCCATATAGAATCGATTACCCACAAGTTTTTAATAACAGGTCACACACAAAACCCTGGTGACAACATGTACTCATTAATAGAGCGACAAAAAAAAGAGTGCTGAAGAGCGGTCCAATTTATGTTCCAACTGAATGGGCAACTCTAGTAAAATGTAGCAAAAAAAGTGGTTCACCCTACATAGTTCGGGAAATGGAAACAAAGGACTTCATTGATTTTAAACATGTTTCCTTTCTGTTGGGAAACAACTATAAAATTGACCAAAATAAGGAAAATGTGAAGTGGACAGATATAAAAATTCTGCAATGTAGAAAAGATAGTCCGCACATAATTTTATTTAAGTACAACTATGATGACAAACTATGGAATTCTATTAATATAAAAATATCATCGCGGACTACACATAATATACGTGAAGTGCTACTTAAACCTGCTTACAAAGAACAGCCAAAAATTCAATTGGCCAAAAAGAAAGATTTGGTATCCTTATGCCATTCGAGTATGATACCAGAAGCTTACCATAGTTTTTATGAAAATATTTTGGCCCAAGATGATCAAGAAGAGGACAACAACTAACAGAAAGTGTGTCTACACCTTTTACAATTTTTCCGTGCAAAAGTGTTGTAACTTTAAAATTCCAATACTAAATGTGTAGTGATTAACAATTTTGTCCGTGCAAAACTGTTGTAACTTTGAAATTCCTAATTTTTTTAGCATAAATATTATTTTGTTTAAATTTTTATTTTTAGTTAATGTAATGTAGGCTATAAAGCATGTAAAATAATAATTAAATGTTAATTTTTCGTGAAACTTGTGTCTTATTTCACCGATATTAGCACGAAAATAAACAAAATCGTCTGTATCTCGAAACTTACTTATTCTGACTTACTGCAGTCTTGCACTGAGGGTGCGATATATATATATATATATATATATATATATATATATATATATATATATATATCGCACTCTTACTGCAAGACTGCATTAACTCAAAAATTTTGTGAAAATAAAGAGTAATCATGGAATTCGATTGTAAACATGCATATCTATCCCTGTAAAACTTTAGTAACTTTAAATGCTTAACCGGCTAAATATTACAACAACAACAGTTTAACTATTTTGCGTTTTTTTACATAAGTTCCGTGCAAAACTGTTGCAATGGTTTCGATAACAAGCAATGAAAGGCACGAAAAAAGTAAGACATTTGTTATTTTAATATCTATATAAATATGGCGTTTAATTTTAATATACAGCGTGTCTACTTAATCCATTAACGGCCGATACAATAAAAAATATTTACGAGAAAAATCTATTCATGTAAGTTTTATGTCCTTTGTGTGACATTATATTTTCTATAAAATGTGTGCGATGTCGTTTGACTATGTATTTATTAGATTGGATACACATAAATTAAGACGAATTATTTACAGCCAAACAATATTTTTTCTTATGAAAGGAAAAACAGTTATCTTAAAACGTGTGTATTAACAATACTGACAGGTTAAAAATATGTATTCTCAGAAAATTTGTTCTATAAAAACTAAATCCCAAATTTTATTAAATCTTCATGTAACCTTCCGGGGCGATTGTCTTATTATAATGTCCTCCCGTAATTGCCAACTTTTACTAAGGTGATGAATTTCAATCCTTTTGTTAAGCACTGTAGTCAAGTTAGCCTGAGTTGCATATTTTTATTCTAGTCCTTTTGTTTTGAATTTCAAATTTTATAAAAATATTTTGACCCAAGATTTGCACAATTACATTGAGTCTATGGTTATAATTTTTACCGTGTGTGTGTCATTTTCTGTAGCACCATATTAAACAGTGATCAAGAGAGAGATTTACCCTGATGTAAACCGTTGTAGATTTTAAACGGTTTAGCAACCTGGATCTTTACCCTTTACTTAACTTTTTGAAAGGGTATTTCTTTTAGTGGTTCAAACTAATTTGGCATTCCTAGGTCTCTTATTGCTCTAAATATCTCGGTGCTATATATTCTACACAATACAATATTTCTGTTAATATTTTCTATCTTGGAATATTTCTTATAAAAGATTCGACATATACATGCTCAATAGTATAAAATTTATACAAAAAACTTATCTCTCCGGCTTTTCTTGATCTAATGTATGTTTTGTCTAATTTTTTTAAATAGATTTTATAAAAATATTTATCGACAAGCAGCAAAAAATTTAAACCGATTAATAGGAATAATTAGAGATGAGCACTTCACTTTTTAAATTATCGTAAACTATAATAATATACTAACCTTCTGTCGCAACATCACCAATTGGCACACCTTGTTTATATGACATATATCCCAAATATGTAAATATTACAAATCCAGAAAAGAAACTGGTGAAACAGTTAATTATAGTTGTAATAATACAATCCCTAAAATAAAAAAATAGTTCAGATTAATACGTATAATTTCGGCAACAACGTAAAAATATATGGATATATACTCTAACTAATTACTAGTCATTAGCTTTTATAAAAAAAGCTTTAATGTGTTACATGATTTTTCTAATTTGCCATATTCTGATATAGCCTATTTAATTAAGTATTTATTTAAATTGGTCACAAACATGACGCCACTACATGTAGTGTTTTTTCTTCCTTAATTTAATAATAAAAATATTTATTTATTGAATATAGTTTTTTTTTATTTAGAATTTCCGCATCAACCATAAAAGATTATTAGCGGGTTTTACAGATTTTACAGTTGTTATTAAATATACTAATTACAAATTGCGTATTAAATTACAAATATTAAATTACAAATTACAAAAAGATACATATAATATTGTTACGAACGTGCATTTAACGAGGCACGTATAACGGTTGCATCTCGAAACAGCACCTCATGCTTCCATGCGGCGCGGCGGCATCTCGAAAGCGACTCGATATTTCGAGAAAGATCTGTCGCGTTCGCCTAGAGGTGGGAACTTTCTAGAAAATAGTAACTTTAGTATATATATGTAACGATCTTAGGAATAAGTTTAGTTGATAAGAGAATTCCGAACTGTAAAGTTATAAATAAATATATTTATATAAATTCGAACCGCTCGTTTTATTTAAAAACGGTACAGTTGGTGTCACCGTGTGAGGACAATTGATTTGAATATAAATTCAACAGTGATTTTTGAAAAAGACTTTTAAACTTTTGAAAAGTATTGTTTGTCGGGAACATCCGCGTAGTTCAGTAGTGATCGTTGTACAAAATAACATTTAAAAGTACGTGTGTGCCTGACCAAAGATGCTGCTAGTAGAACTTTCAGTGAAACAGTTGCGTGAGCAACTAGAAGAACGCGATGAAGACTGCAGCGGGTCCAAGAAGATCCTCCAAGAACGACTAAAGACTGTTCTCAACAAGAATGGAGACGACCCAGAGACATTCCAGTTCCAGTCAGCAGAAGAAGCCGTTCTAACTAAAATAATTGATGGAAAATTCGAGACTGCTTCCAAAAGATTCGATGAAACGTCTCAAATGATTGAAGAATCTTCAAAAAAACATGATAATAAATTCGAAAATGTATCTAGAAGATTCGACGAGAAATTTGAGAACGTCTCGCAAATGATTAAGGAGACTTCTAAAAAAAATGATGATAAATTCGAGAATGTATCTAGAAGATTCGACGAGACTTCACAAATTATTAAAGAAGTATCTAGACAAAACGACGAGAAACTCGAAAAGGTTTCAAGAAGATTCGACGAAGTATGTACTCAGAACGATGAGAAATTTAAAGAAGTCTCTAAAACATTCGATAAGGTAGAAGAGAAGATCAAACAGTTAGAAAGCATGATAACTAACACGAAAGTGCTACCACCAATGAATACGGTAGCTTTAGATCCGGTAGTGAAAGAAGAATCACCTAGAGACGAAATGGCACATCATATGAGATTCAAATTGCCACCATTTGATGGAAAGTCCTCTTGGTCCATATACCTTAGACAATTTGAAGCTATTGCGACAGCCAATCATTGGACAGAACAAGAAAAAGCTGTTTCCTTGACTGCTGCTTTACGAGGTGATGCTGCAGATATGCTAAGATCGATTCCTAAGGGTCAAGAAAAATGTTACCAGACCTTGTTCACTCGACTAGACAAACGTTACGGAGATGCCCATCTACAACAAGTCTACAAGGCGCTACTAAGAAGTAGAACTCAACGAGCAAGTGAGAATTTGCAAGAGTTTGAAGCAGATGTTGCCCGTATAGTGCGGTTGGCTTATCCGGAGGTACCAGACAACATTTTGGAAGAAATTGCCGTGGATACCTTCGTCAATGGGTTAAAAGAAAGTGAATTACAGAAAGCTTTACGACTAGCAAGACCGAAAGTTCTAGATGAAGCGCTCGCTATTGCCTTAGAACATGAAACAGCTAGTCAAACTTCACGGAGCCATCGAGTAAGAACCATTGAAGAAGGCGACGAAAAAAACGATGAACGTCTAGAAGAAATGGTACGAAAAATAGTTCATAACACGATGCCGAAGAGACGCGAGCCCAGATGTTGGAATTGTGGTGACGTCGGTCACATTCGCCGTAATTGCAAGAAAATGATACAACAGTCGGAAAACTAGAACGACACTAAGGGGCAATTGCCGACCTCGAGAAACACAGCCCCCATAGTAACTGTGAACATTACGTCCTCCGGTGGAATTCATAGCTTGTACATCGAAGGTCGTATTAATAATAAATGTATATCGTTTTTGGTAGATACAGGTGCAACAAGAACTATAGCACGGCCAGAAGTAGTACGAGACCATCTTAAATTATCGCCTGCAACAGTAAAGCTTAGAACAGCAACTGGTGAGATAATTAATACATATGGCGAGGCTAATATGTCAGTATCCATTGGCCAGACCACAGTGAAACATCGAGTATTAATTACAGAGATCTCTGATGAGTTCATATTGGGGATGGATTTACTACGGAAAGTTGGGGCTGTATTGAATGTCAAAGATGGAGTTCTTGATATCAGTGGTGAAGAGTTGCCGTTTCATGAAGACAAAGAAGATGTTATCAGCTTAATAACTACTTGTGACGTAACAATACCCGGTAATAGTGAGAAAATTTTGATGGCCAGACCTGATGGTTACTGCCGAGAGGGAAGTTTAAGGATGGTCGAAGATGTGAACAATGCCGAGTTCCTAACGGCAAAAGCTTTGGTGCGAATTCGAGATGTCGTTCCTGTAAGAGTTATGAATTTAAAAGGAACTGCTATTAAGTTAAGTAAAAGAACTTTGATCGGACAGTGTGTTCCCGTGGCTTCGATTTGTTCCATGAGTACTAATGAGAAACCGTCGAAATCTAAGTATCCAAAGGAGCTTGTAGTGAGAAACCGTCGAAATCTAAGTATCCAAAGGAGCTTGTAGAGACGATGATTAAAACGTGCCAAGATCTTGATGATGAACGAACTAAAAAAGTGAAGTCTATGCTGATAGAATTTCAAGATGTTTTTGCCATTGATAAGAAGGATAATGGCAAAACAAGCATAGTAAAGCATAAAATTAATACCGGAGACGCTCAGCCAATCAGACAACAACCTAGACGACTTCCATTTGCGAAAAGAGATGAAGCCGAAGACATCATCAAAGATATGAACAAACAAGGGGTAATTGAACCATCAAACAGTCCATGGACATCACCAGTAGTGCTAGTAAAGAAGAAAGATGGTTCAACACGCTTTTGTATTGACTACCGACAGCTCAATGCGGTAACTAAAAAAGATAGTTATCCTTTGCCCAGAATAGACGATACTTTGGATACACTTTCTGGTTCTCGTTGGTTCTCCACACTCGATCTGAAAAGTGGATATTGGCAAGTAGACATGGAGCCAGCTGATCGTGAGAAAACCGCATTCTCGATAGGATCAGGGCTTTGGCAGTTCACAGTTATGCCCTTTGGTTTATGTAATGCTCCGGCCACATTTGAAAGATTAATGGAGGCAGTTTTAAGAGGTCTAACATGGAAAACATGCCTGGTTTATTTGGATGATGTAATTGTAGTTGGAAGATCCTTCGACGAACATGCCAATAATCTGACCGAAGTCTTTCAACGATTGCGGGCAGCGAATTTAAAGTTGAGTCCGAAGAAATGTCACTTGTTTCGAAGAGAAGTGAAGTACTTGGGACATATTGTAGCAAGTAATGGAGTAACAGCTGATCCTGAAAAACTTGCAGCAATTAAGGATTGGCCAGTACCAAGAGATAAACACGAAATTAGAAGTTTTCTTGGCCTTTGTACATATTACCGACGTTTTGTCAAAGAATTTGCCAACATCTCCAAGCCATTAACTAAGTTGACAGAAGAAGGCAAAGAATATACATGGAGCGAAGAGTGTCAAAGAGCTTTTAAACACTTACAAATGGCTCTGATCAGCGCACCGATTTTAAGCTACCCTAGACAGGCAGGAAAATTTGTGTTGGACACCGATGCAAGCAACAGTGCAATAGGAGCTGTTCTCTCCCAAATCCAAGATGGGCAGGAGAAAGTCATCGCTTACTTTAGCAAAGTCTTGTCGAAACCAGAAAGAAACTATTGCGTTACCAGGAGAGAATTGCTAGGCGTAGTAAAGGCTTGCGAGCATTTCCATAAGTACTTATATGGCAGAAAGTTTCTTCTTCGCACGGATCACGCTGCTCTAAAATGGCTCCTACAATTCCGTAATCCAGAGGGTCAGATGGCAAGATGGTTAGAACGATTACAAGAATATGATTACGAGATCGAACACAGGGCTGGAATAGTTCATTTAAATGCTGATGCGCTTTCGAGAAGGCCGTGCAGTGAACATTGTAATCACTGTCTTAAATTAGAAGAAAGACTTTGCCGCGTGAGACGAACCACCGTCATTAATGATCAATGGCAGCCTCAACAACTACAAGACGCTCAAGCAGATGATCCATGCATAAAAAGAGTATTGGATTGGATACGTCGAAGTGAAAGGCCCTCTTGGCAAGACATTAGTGCATATAGTCCTGAAGTCAAGTGTTACTGGAGCCAATGGAATTGCCTGGTGCTAAAAGATGATCTTCTTTATAGAACCTTTGAGAACGATGATGGTACGGAATCTAAGCTTCAGTTGATTGTACCTAAAAGTAAAGTGTCAGAAGTATTGCGTCAGTTACATGACGGTGCATCAGGTGGACACTTTGGTATTACGAAGACTCTGCAAAAGGTTCGAGAACGGTTCTATTGGGTGAACTGTAAAGATGATGTAAGAAGATGGTGCCGGAAATGTGAACTGTGTGCAACCAGTAATGGTCCAGTTGGTAAAAAGAGGGCACCCATGAAACAGTACAATGTTGGTAGTC